CTTGAAAAGCAGCTTACTTTGACCGGGGAGAACAGAGCAGGTGTGTTGCCTCAACCTAGAGGTGCCGGATTTGTGTCTGTTGTAGACTAGTATTTTCCCGATCTCGCAGTGTTTTTTAACCGCCCGTTTCCGCCCGCAGCAATCTTCAAACCTTTCGCTCCCGCAAGATTTGCGTTGGACCCAATCCCAATGCAGCCCTCTACATCCCTGTCTTTTGTCTCCAGTTAGTTCTGTCAACCAATGTGCTAGCTCGTCAGCCTGCCTTCCCACCTATTAACTCTTCAGCCTGCACTTTACCTCCAAGGACACAATCTGCATACTCCCCACGTGGTCGAGGTTTTGTGAGGTCATAGACACCCATGATCATTCTCATCACTTCATCCTTTGACAACGTATGTGCCAAATCTGAAGAAACTCCCTCGAGATATTAACAAACAATGGGACAGACGGAGAAGCGTAAAACATAATTCAAACGTTACAAAATGCGAAGCAATAACAATTCCAGATAATTCAAATACTAAAAGTCAGAACAAATACTGCTCTCAATAATTTATGCTTTACTGTGCAAGAGAGGATACAGTCCACATAACAAGTTATCACCAAATTAAGCTGTTAGAGGTTAATGAGTTGTACCAAATATGCCTTAATTGGATCACTGCTTTCTCTAACTGTGTAATCCATGATGATAAATGCTTATTGAGGATGGGAAGTAATGGAGGGAGAAAATAAGGAACACTGTAAAAGGATTTTAGTGAGACCCAACCATCAGTTTGCAGTGATTCACCTTTATGTAACACACTTTAAGTCCACAGGTGAGGGACATTTAAGGAGCTGAAAAATTAGATTAGGATTTCAAGACATGTTGCCTGAGAAATGTCTGTGGTATTTCACAGGGGTACAAAATGTTATGACATAGTGTATGGATGCTGTCTAAAGAAGTTAGAGACTGCCGTTCTCATGGAGAAACATCTTGCATGTCTGACATTTCCAAAGATGGCAGCACCGAAGTGTATCCTTCAGATGTTTTTTTGATGGGAAAGATCAGGAGGAGAAAAAATATCTTTTGATTGGTCTATATGAAATATGTTTCTGTCTATTCTGATTCCAAATTACCTCTTTGGAATGTCTGTGAATAGGAAGTGATGATAGACTAACTTCTTTGCAGATACGTATTTTTGCAGAATGTGTAGTAAACTCTGTGTACAAGGATTAAATCAAAACATAATAATGAAATCTTCTGACACGGTGGTGTTGGGGGTTGGTGAGGTTGAAATACACAAGCAGCACGCTCTCCTGCAGTCCACCTTCCACCAGGACAAATTCCAGTTAGCTTACACTGAGCAACAAATCAGGACCAATGGATGATTTACGTGCTAGAGGGCCAGTTCTGGGTATTGCCCTCTAAAGGTAAAATCATATTTTATATAGATTGATCTCATTAACAGCCTTTCTGGAATCAAATTGACAGAAATTTGTCAAGGTGATTGGACAACTTTAATCCCAGTGTGTAGGATGTCTACCAAATGGCAGCAGCTGTCCCACTTGCCTGTCACAGTGAAGGTCCCCCATAAATCTTCATGTGAAACCATGCTAAGAACAACGTGCAAGAACTGCACACTAGAATCATATCTTCATCTTTGAATGTACATTGAATCACGTGAAAATGACAGTAGCACCAACACAAAATGAAGGTGCACTACTTACAACATGCAACGCAACACATCCATATTTTTTCCCCACCTTAACTGTTTTACAAATAAATGTTCACACATTACAGAAATGTGCAGTTTGAATATAAAGTCACATAGTGAAGTAGTGCTTTAAGAGGTCTCATTAAGTTAAATGGTGCTTTTTAAAACATTAGCATTAAGTAAAACAAATCATCATCATCACTTCCTCTCCTCCCCTTCCCCTTAGAGCACATCCCCAGAGGACCACTGGGGCCTGGCACCTTGTAGTTGGGCCTTCCAGCCCTAACTGAACCTCCTCTGTACAGCCTCCTAAGCATCAAACTACTCCAGGCTAGTTCCCTCAATGGATTTATTAAAAAGAAAAAAACAGGGAGCATCTTTTCAAGTTGCACTTGTTATAAAATGAAGTCACACTGTCTCCAAAAATAGTCACAAAATGTGACTTAATAGTCACAGTCTGAAACCCAGGGTGGTTTTTATTTATGAGAGCTTTTATATTAGTAGAAACCGTCTAGATCTGAAATCCTTTTAAAAGTACATGTTCAGTGAACTAGTGTAAAGTGGTGCAATGTTGTATTCATTCACCCTGGGATACCCTTGCTAAATGAATACAACATTGGTTAATAGATACCTTTTTGGCTAATGGAAGCAACCACCTGAAAGCTTGTCCTCACAGTGACAGTGCAAGACTTGAAACTGAAAATATCCGGCATCCCAGGCTACAGCTGCACAGAAATATTTAGTGGATAACTCTAGAGTTGTTTATTAACAGATTGTTTTAACACACTACTCCCTCCCAAAAAAAACAAAAGGCCATGATTTTACATTTCTGTAGTTGCATGGGTCAAACCAAATTAGTCATCTTTAGAGGTATTGGATGAAGCCAAGCTCGTCGTTTCGCTCTGATTCCAGTCTTTATGCTACAGTAAGCTAACCACATCCTGACCCCATCTCTGGAAACAGCTGACAAAGCAGAGCATATCTGGAGGGGCAGCTCCTCCAAAGTGTTTGGACAAAAGATTCAACACATCTGTCAAGGTCCTTCGTCTGAGGCCATGATGAATGGATGCTTACACTGCTTCCCATAAGTATGCCATTCACTAGCTAATTCTTTCCCCTTTCATCTTGCCTTTAAAAAAACCATTTTTGACTTGCCATGCCTTTTAAAGAACATTAGATTTCACTTTGTAAACAAGGTCATTTTGTGAAAAAAGTCTTGGGAATAAGGTGATAGAACATTGTAGCATGTAGCCATTACACTTGAAATCGCCTGAGGACTGTGGTTTTGTTTCATAGACAATGAATAGCACTTTAAATGATGTGACACACTCATAAATCTAAAAGACGGATTACATTGGACTATTTATGGACCCAAATCTACCTCAATAATTTACTTCTAATCTACACCCCTGTTTCTGCATGATAAGACATCCCCCAGCTTCAAAACAAAGTCATTTATACATGGCCATATTTTACTGTCAGCGACTGTTTTGAATGTACTGACTGCATTGGGGAGTCTGGCAAGCTTTATTCTCAAATTATACATGAAAAGATTTTCAAGGCCTTGCATGCGCTCACTGACACTCAAACTGTCTATGAGGAGAAGACAAGGCACTCAGCAACAGCCAAAAGGTCATCAGAAGCTCAGATATGGTGTACGCGATAAAGACCTTCTGCAAACTGTCCTCCTTTAAATGGTAAGCGTGGTGCTCCTACAGTAGAAATATATTCATGATGTGGGTAAGAAAATATTTGATCACATTTTCTATAACACAGCCGTTCTTAATAAAATAAACCATCAAAGGTTCAACTTTATAGCATGGCACTCTCCTTTCCTGTGCCTCTGTATAACTCTCCATCCTGACTGTGCCTCTGAATCAATGCCTCAAATTGAAGAAGACACAAGAGGCTGTTTTCTAGTTTGGATTTTTACCTCATCGCTTATTTACTAATCAAATGCTCATTGCAAATGTACAAGGATTCTGCAGATTTAATTGTGTAGGTTAGCATTAAATATTTAAAATACCATATTGAAACCGTGTTAAATCAGCTGGTTGTCAGAATCTCAAAAGACACTTTAGCAGCCAGGTCTTCCAGACGAACTGTTAGTCTGAAACAGTAACTAACAGAGAATATACTTTGATAGCTCAAGGAAATGCTAACAAACTATACTCAATGAGAGACGATGGAACCTGACGTCCCAGTGACAGATACTTGGATCACTGCATTCTATGGACAGGGAAAGGGAGACGTCCAACACTGGACTGTATCATCTACAGGGCAGAAATATCTAATGCAGCATCACTTTCAAACTAGAGAGGCAAATGACAAAAAAGGAGGCAATGCTTGTTGCCATATGTGTGACTGTCAGTTAATTTTACTTTAGCACAGAATGAAAAAAATACATTCCTTATGAAATAAGCACTTAGATGTATAACTAAAAAGTTAAATCGACAATGGATAAAAACCATCTGGAAAAATATACTGCAAAAACAGGTCACACATTTATCATTTAGAAAACACCCCCGTTCTTTTACTTAAAGTGGTAGTACACAAGTTTTCTCCCCAGTGTTTCCTAGTGGTACTGATGTTTGTACCACTTTTAAAAAGTCTAGATCAATTTAAGTTTCATCAACGCCTTGATTTCCTTCACTGCTCGTTTTAGAAAGTCTACCACTAGAAACAATGCAAAAAAATATGATAGTTTCTGGCTTCTAGTCGTAGCTACATGGCTACTGCTAAGTCCAGGGTTTCTTTCCTAGTTCGACCATGACTTTCAAGTGAACACCCATCCAAGGATCACTCTTTTTTCCTCCTGTTTCACCTCCTCACCTTCCTTGCCTCTTCTAATAGGAGTTTTTCTTTTGTCAAATGAAGTTTGTAATGATACTGCGGTTGTTCCGTTTTTGATCATTCAAAAGCTACCAATAACTACCAGGGAAAACAAAAGAACAATCATCTTTCTGTTCTGGATGTCTAGTGTCAGGAGCATTTCCTTTGTGCCATAAATCGAGCCCTCATTTTCCCCCAAAAATCGTATCCACTGAAAGAAGTAACTGCATTATGAAAGTAAAGCATATCAGGAGCTAAACTTGAGGCAAAAGGTGTCATTATTGTTTGGCCATTAAATTGTAACTTTAACACTGATATTAGTATCAGAATAGCATAGTGAGACATATGGAATGTGTCAGATGCTGTATGTGTGAGTGTTTTTGTAATCAAAATATATTTACTCAGCATAAACATTAACATGAGAATGATAATGATAATTTCTCAGGCAGTCAGAAGGCAGCAGATAAGGAGTCTTACTGTTACTGTGGACTCTTGATGTTCAGGTTTCTTTGTTGTGCCTCACACATCTAAAGGCTGATGGGTGTTCATTGGTGCTGCATCTTCTGAGGGCAGGAGGAGACAAGAGAAAACAATTAAATATCAAGTTTTGAAATAGAGAAACAAGGTCGGTGAAACTTCTGGAGTGATTACATACTAAACAATATGTATTTATCTGTTAACAAGGTGTTTATTAATTCAATTTCATGTAACAAAAGGAATGTGTTAATTGAAATAAAAAATACATGCATTTATTCAAAAATTAAGACACACCGAAAAGCTATTTTTTATTTGATTGACAAATAGAATTCCGATTCCGAATTCCGACTTTAAAAGTGTATGGATCAGACAGCATAAAATACAAATGACTGGCGACACAGAACAGGTCTGCATGAATAACAACATAAATTACAGTCATAAAAACAAAGAGAACATGTTCCCATAATTATTATTTTAATGTATGCTTGAAGACTGAGGTGCTGACTCAGCTCTTTCTGCTGGAACCACAGAAGAAATGTTTTTGTTCAAGCACCATAAGCTTTACCTTCTGTCCAAGATAATAAAGCTTTTTTATTAATTTAAGTAATGAATTTATAGCACAGTATCCGCAATAGAGATTTGTGAGCTTTCAGTGTTAAATAATGGTCTAAAAAAAGCAAAGTAACACATTGATCAATCACTCTCAAAAATGCCATCTTGAAAGGAAAGAAAAACCTATGAAATGCTGCCCTTGCAAATCTGAAATCAAACTCCCATCCTCCAACATAACCCTGGTTCGACTTTTGTGGAGACTCTCCTATCTTTGAGTATGTCAAATTTCAGATGAGTCATTTATAAAATAACACATTATTTTTAAGATTGAGCTTGGTTGTTGATATACAAACTTTTGTTATATTATATGCTACCCTGCAGCACAGCAAGTCTGTGGAATTTTAAGGAATGGCACTCACAGATGTAAAGGGCAGCTGGGTGATTAGGTTTGAAATATTTTTTTCTGGTATTTGCTGCTGCAGATCACCAGAGGTGGCAAAAGTACTCACATTACTTACTTAAGTAAAAGTACAGATACTTGAGTAAAGAAAGACTGGTAAAACTACTGATTCATCTCCTTTACTCAAGTAAATGTACTTAAGTACAAAAGTAAGAATACATTTTTAACTTACATGATACACAAAAAGTTGTAGGCACACAAAATAGGATACCTTTCCTCTTTTGTTAACAACCTGCAGAGAGAGAAACAAAATCACTGGGCACAGTCTAGTTTTGCTGCCAAATTTCAGACAGAATAATAAAGACTGAACTGAACCGAGGTCCTGCATGAGCACCTGGATCATTCTTTACAGGAAATAAATGGATGGAGAATGTGCTGGCCTTGATTAAGTCCCTGCCCTCTGTACACACCGCCCGTCCCTACTACTGATTGGATGGTTGAGTTAGGTCCTTGGATCTGCCTCGCCGGAGTTGGTCACGGTCCTGGCAGAGCACCAAGAACACGACCAAACTTGACTATCCAAAGGAAGTAAAAGTTGTAACAAGGTTCCTTGGGTGAACCTGAGGAAGGACCATTACCGGTACAGCAGCTCGATCTCTGTTGCCCACGGCAGTAGGACACTTAGGGTCTAGCGCTGCCCTCCCGATGGCAAACATGCCGCCGGGGCCTGCGCGTCTCCCCAAGCAGGGGGGGTTAGTGCGTAAAATCAAGTAACGAGCCAGTTTTGAGAATGTAAGGAGTAGAAAGTTATAGAGATTATGAAGAGATATTTGTGTTCAAATGTAGCGAGTAACAGTAAAAAGTCGTCAGGAAAATAAATACTCAAGTAAAGTACAGGTACCTGAAAAATCTACTTAAGTATAGTAACAAAGTATTTGTACTTCGTTACGTTCCACCTCTGCAAATCACCTCTCTGTACACTGGTGTTGAATTTCATTACCAAGATTTTGAGTTCATCATATTTGTTGCTCTGCAAGTTCATGAACATCTGATCCACGGGATGAAAAATGACTTGTTACTACCAACAGTGAAAAGATGCAGATAAGTCCAAAACCTGTGTATATATGGAACAAGGATTTTTTATAAACTGTTTAATTACCTTTATTAAATATATAATATGTTTGCCTTTATTCAGATTCAGATTCAGATTTTCAGGGAGAGGCAGGAAAATGGGTCAGAGAGACAAACATGCAGGAAACAAACTGAGGATCTGCTGCTCGAAGCATATGCCACTATGTGGTAGGCTATACTCCATAATCATTTGGCTATTGGATCGCCCCTAAGGTGAACCTACTTTTATTATTTCCCTTCACATATTATCATTTCCAATGCAACAAAAAACAAATCTGACAAGAAAGAATATCTCCAATAATTTCCAGCTGAGCAATAATGCAAAATGGATTTTCTTCAGCATTTCCCTCTGTGTTAAATGTGCACAGTATACTGATAGTTTATACTGTGGGATAAACTATCAGTGGGATGTTTCCAACACCCCCATTTTCCATCTTTTTTTAAATTTCTGTCTAGTCAGTCATCTCGAATGGAACAAAGGTCAAAAGTGAAATGTTAAGGAATAAAAAACTGAAAATGATGTACATTACATTGAAAGTGATGAACGATGGAAGTACATGAAGCCCACTTTTGTTATTGACTCTGACAGTGTTGGACCATCGTGTTTTACCATAGACTTTAAATACAAATGGATGACGTGTCTCTACTTCCTTCCACTATTCTGAAAAAAAAAGACAAAATATCCTGTGTATGAACACTGTCATCTTGTGCATTTGGAGCCACAGTGTGCGCAGTAGCAATCGTGGGTTGTAGTTGAAATAATGAGGCCCAGCTGAAACACACACCAAAAGATAAACTAAACATTGTAATAAGTACTACCTAAAATGATAGACATCATCTTTGAGACAAGTTTAATTGACATGGAATTTTGCATTTTAGTTTGGTCCATGTCACATCCGCTAACATGGACTTAAGACCTAAACTGCAGCCAGTCACCAGGTGGTGATCAAGACACTTTGGCTTCACTTTTGGGGAGTTGTCATGTTGTCCATCATTATATACAGTCTATGGTTTCTGCACCTGCTGATGCACTATAAGTACAGTTCAAGAAGTAGTACTGTAGTCTAACTTCTCCCCTTTTTAAGTGCACAATAAAAAATGGTATAAAATGAAAGTTCACAGACAGTACATATCAATTGAAATTAATTTACCCTGCTCCTCGTCATTAGAAGCAAATTCCCCAAACATCACATCTAAAATGTACTGGCAGTGAGAAGGTTAAAGTCCAGAGGGCAGAGGAGGGCTACTTGTTACAAGGGAGGAATGTTTAGTGGATTAATCCTCTCAGGCATGTTTTGATAGCTAGACAGAAAGTCAATTTGAAAAAACAAACTTGAGAAAACAAGCCTTGATATATTATTCTAAGTGAAGTTATTTTATTTGCACCAGTCTTAAACATGACTGGAAAACATCAACCCAGCCCAGGGTCTCTAAGAATGGCATACTTGTCAGACTATAAGTGCTGCAGTAGATGACGAAACAAACATTGTAATTACTAAATAAGATAGTTGGTGGAGAAAATAGGATTACGATCCAAAAAGAGGTTATACTATGTCTAATACCAATATAGCAAACCCAATACAGCGCATGACATCTAATATTATAAAGCCAAGGTATATATATAATAGCGTGAAATAATTCTCATTAAAAAAATGTTTCATAAATATCTTGTTTTTGTCCCTCTGGGCTCTGAACATGCGTTTTCTGATAATGAAACACCATGATGAGGGCAGCAGCACAGATCTAGTTGGCAAGATGCTGGAAGTGGTAGATAAGAGACAGGGGGACATACTGATAGCACCATACTGGCTCTGGCCCATCTCACTTCCTGAGGGGCAGAACTCTGCCTGCACCGGGCAGATGTCAGGTTGTGTGTTAAAAAGGGTACAAGCTGGCATGGTTATCAGAAAACCTGCAGCGTTCTGACCTGCACTCAGACATCACAGACTGTCAACATGCTGCGGCTTTGGAAAACTTGAGAAAATATTGTTGCTCTAAATAACAGGCACAGATTTTGTTTCCCAAAGAGCTCATCCTTCATGGCACATTAGTGCTCTCACAGCATTAAAGGACAATGAGAAAAGATTATGACTGTGTGCTTTAAATAAGACCACCATGAAATATAAAGTATATCAGAGGCCGTTTTAGATGAAATCTCATAATGGAAATTTCAACCTTATTATAACTTTAATTTAAAAACTTTGACTACAAGATCACTGATAATCCGGGTAATGGAAAAGTCCCTTTTAACAACCTGGATCTTATTTCTGTAAACTGGGCCATGATTCATTTTGGTTATGACAGGATTGAATTTACAGGTTTTATAGCTGAGATCTGGGCACAAGGTGAAGGCAGATACTTCCCAGGTTGACTCTGGTTTTTGCTTCCAAATTAGTGGCATAAATAATAAAGAGAAAACTCCTATAATGATAACAAGAGCTATCTGTGCAATAGGTCGAGGTCTTACTTTTGACAACCATAGCTTCTTATTAGTATCTGTTCTGCAGCTTTCAAACATGCACAACAGGAATGAGAAGATCTCAACTTGCTGTGAGGAAAAGGTTGACATCCGAACTGTAATGACTGGTTTGAATTTAAATATTTTTATGGATAAAAGGGTATCAGACTGTTCATGTGGTTTGCCTTGTAATCCAGCAGACAGCACTCACTGTCACCTTGACCTATCAGTAAAGTAAGCCAATAATGTTATGTTCCTTTTTTTCTGAAATGGAGGAAGCCAGCAAGCAAAGCGAATAATCACCATGGAAAAGCATCTGAGAAGCTGTGTGAAGTTTTTCAAGTTCTACACCATCCATTATACCGATTGAGGGTGCATGAGGGAACTAGAGCCAATCCCAGGTAACCTTGGATGAAAGACAGGCTACACCCTGGACAGGCTGCCAGTCCATCATAGGCCGTTACAGAGACAAACAGCTTTTACTCTCACATTCACATATACGATCAATTTAGAGTCTCTGATTAACCTTATAGGAGACTTGATTA